AGAAAAACTGCTTTGAAGGACTTTATTGGGAAAGCTGGGGTGATCTGATTGGAATAAAAGTTCCTTGTATGCAGCCTTGCCCCCTACGTGGATAACACTCCCTCTTTTGAGGGTTCTGGGGCTGGATAGACCGTCTTTGTCCCTGGAACATCCAGCCCAAACAGAGCTGAGGGTCCAGGAAGCATGTGCTGACTTTTAAACGAGTCTGCAGACTGGACAGTGAGATGCCTCTTGGGTACAGTGGGGGTGAGATGTGTCCACGTGGGTACGCACCCTCACATCTCAGGGTTGGGGTTGGGGAGGGCTTCAGGTCTGGGCTTTCATTACAAGAGTCTTTCAACTTTCCAAAACAAAAAGGAGGGCCTCTGGCTACTTCAGGAACCCTGGGCTGGCTGGTGGCCACACCTGGCCTGCAGGGCGTTCTGTGTCTTAATGACCCTAGTCACCGACGGGCATCCCACCGGCTTATTTCATTGCGCTCAGAACATAAATAGGTTTCTGTTTATGGGAACTGGGGAGACACTGGAGAAAGAACCTTTTCTCCAGCAGCTCCTTGAAGGCTGAAGTGTGAAGCAGCCAGTCCACAGCCAGGAAGAGCCTCCCGAGTGAGAAGTGAGGCCCAGGACAGCTCCAGGGGCTGCCAGGTTATCGTGTTATCGTGCATGAAGCTCTGTGTGGGGCTGTCTTGTTATTTTGTGTGAAGCTCTGGGACCCGGGCTGTCTGGTCACCACACTCTCCTTGCCTCTCCCCTTTGGGCTGGGAGTGATAGGGCCGAGCAGGCTCTCTGACAGAGGCCCACAGGACAGGATGGAGCTAAACACAGACATGTCATCACGGGCCAAGCAGGGACATGGGTGGCTCAAGCTGGACCCTAAGCCAGGCACTGTGGGAGAGCCTCCCAGGCAAAGCCAGATACCAGAAAAGACAGAAATCTCTGAGGCAGGAGGGAGCAACCACCTCTGGTCCTACTCGAGGGCCTGGTGAGATATACAGTCCGGAATGCTACAATGGTGGGTACTGGGCTTCAGTGTCCTTTCCTGACCAGTGTCCCCAGGACAGACAAGACAGCATCTGCTCCTCAGAGAAAAGGCCACCGTTGGTTCCTCCTCTGTCTTCTGTTCTTCCCACCCACGCCTTCCTAGCAGCTACTTCCGACACTGAGTTGACCCAGGATGCAGACCGTGTTCAGGGGAGGCCAGAGGATGCGCCACACTGTCCCCTTTCCCCTCCCTTGTCTGTATGTCGCTGGAGAGTATGCGTGTGTCTATGTGAACATGTGTGCCTGTGCACATGCGCGTGCCCTGGAGTGTGTGTGTGTATGCGTGTGCGTGTGTGTAGGTGAGTGGGTGTACGAGGGTATGTGTGTGTGCTGGTTAGTTTTTGTCAATCTGACAAACTAGAGTCACCTGGGAAGAGAGAGCCTCAGTGAGGAATTGACTGCCATCAGATTGGCTGGTGGGCAGGTCTGTGAGGCATTTTCTTGATTTGTGATTAATATAGGAAGGCCCAGCCCCCTGTGGGCGGTGCCATGCCTGGGCAGGGGGTCCTGGGCGGCGCTACAAGCCAGGGAAACCAAGCCAGGAGGCAGTGTTCCTCCATGGCCTCAGCTTCAGTTCCTGCCTCCAGGTTCCTGCCTTGACTTCCGGCCCTGGCTTCCTCTGACCTTAGACTGTAAGCCGAAATGAACCCTTTCCTCCCCAGGTTGCTTTTGGTCGGGGTTTTATCACAAACAGAAACGACAGTGCGCATGCACATGTGAGTAGGTATGTGCATGTGTGTGGGTCGTGTGTGTGGATGTAGATGATTGTGAATGGGCACTGGTGTGTACACGTGTGTGAGTGGGTATATGTGTACACGTGTGTAAGAAGATCCTTTCTGTTTTTCTTTTTCTTTCTTTCTTTATTTTTATTTATTTATTTATTTATTTTTGGTTTTTTTTGAGACAGGGTTTCTCCATGTAGTTTTGGTGCCTGTCTTGGCTCTCAATCTGTAGACCAGGCTGGCCTCGAACTCGCAGAGATCCGCCTGCCTCTGCCTCCAGAGTGCTGGGATTAAAGGCGTGTGCCACCACCGCCCAGCTAGGAGACCCTTTCTAAAGACACACAGGCAGCCTGGGGTGTGGGGTGGGATTCTGGTGGGGAGGAGGGCCTTACTCCGTGGGTCTCACTAACCCACTCCGGGATGCACTTCTGTGCTGTCTGCAAGGGCCCCTGTGCTGGCTAGTTTTGTCAGCCTGACACACTTTAAAGTTACCTGAGAGGAGGGAACCTCAATTGAGAAAATGCCTCCATCAGACCCGCTGTAAGGCATTTTCTTAATTAGTGATTGATGGGGGAGGGCCCAGCCCATTGTGGGTGGTGCCGTCCCTGGGCTGGTGGTCCTGGGTGAACAAGCCATGAGGAGCGAGCCAGTGAGCAGTGTTCCTTCCATGGCCTCTGAGTCAGTTCCTGCCCTGACTTTATCCAATGATGGATTCCACTGTAGAAGTGTAAGCCAAATAAGCCCTTTCTTCCCCAACTTGCTTTTGGTCATGGTGTTTCTTCGCAGCAGTAGAAACCCTGACTAAGACGGCCCCTTTCTGGAATGGGATAAAAAGAAACATATGCCGGGCGGTGGTGGCGCACGCCTTTAATCCCAGCACTCGGGAGGCAGAGCCAGGCGGATCTCTGTGAGTTCGAGGCCAGCCTGGGCTACCAAGTGAGTCCCAGGAAAGGCGCAAAGCTACACAGAGAAACTCTGTCTCTAAAAACCAAAGGAAAAAAAAAAGAAAAAAGAAAAAAAGAAACACATATAACTCCTAAAGCTTGAGACACGGGTGCCTGCCCTCTCTGGGAACGAGGTCACTTCTCTGTGGGTGACTCCATGAGTCCAGGGAGACCCCAGCAACAACCCAGAGAGCCTGTTTAAGGCAGGACCCCTTGGTCACGCTGTGCGATTGAAGCCCAGACGCTGCCCTGTGAGCGGTCAGCATCTTCTCTCCGATGGAGACTCAGCTCTCCGTCCTGGGTCAATCTTTTCAGATTGCGCTGAGTCACCGGGAAGAGTTGAGCAGGAGCAGGTGTGAAAGAGCACCCAGGGACTGTGCGTGGGAGGGGTGTGTGTGTGTGTGTGTGTGTGTGTGTGTGTGTGTGTGTGTGTGTGTGTGTGTGTGTGTGCAGGGATCAGGACCCTCCTGGTATGAGAGGTCAAACAGGACTGAGATGTGTAGATGGGTATGTGCAGCTGGCTGGGAACAGGGTGCCCAGCTCTATTCTCTGGACACACCCCAAAGCGCAGGGTGACCTGTACACCCTCCTATGTCCCTGCTCTTAGTTCTTGGTACTGCCCTCTCCCCAAGCCTGTTGGCTGTGGAGCTTTCTCTGAAGGCCACAGGATGCCAATCTTTCCAACTTCTGTGTTTCATGACCCTCTGGGACCCAGTGACAGCCTCACCCCACATCATTCAGAACAGCCTTCAGGCAAGTCGCTTAACCTCTCTGGGCCTCCATGACTCCATCTGCTTCATCTAACAATGGGAAAACAAATGCTCATCTTGAATGTCAGGTTAGTGTTCAGGCCTCAAGTACAGTCACTGTGTGTGTCCTTGTGAGCAGCCCGTGGGGGCCCTGCCCTGCTCTAGGAAAGGTTAGTTCAGTGGGGCTTGGACTAAGTGGCTGGTGGTACCCCAGGAAAAAGCCATTTGTGTTCACTCCCTACCCCCTTGGCCTTCCCCTCTAGCAGTGGGGCAAAGCATCCAGGGAAAAACTCTGGGCACCTTCCCTCTCCTGAGATGGGGGAGGTGGCTCCTCTTCTCCCTAGCCTGAGACACATGCATGTCAGGAGCACCCCACGTACCCTGCCCGGGACATCTGTGTATCCCCTGTCGTTTTCTTGCCTCCAGACTCCCCTCTTCAATGTTGGAAACGTTGGATCCACCCATAGCTCCCGCTTCAGAACCTTGAGGTCCGGAGCTCTGAGTGTGGCATGCCGGGCCAGTGCTGGCCTGCTTCGCCTTTCTGTGGCACGGTGAGATGGGGCGCTCAGATAGTGACAAACCTCATTTCCAGCCCCCCTCCCTAAGATCCTTGGCATTTGCCCGCAGCCAGCCCGGCTCACAGAGCCTATGGAATCCTTTGCCCTTTTTTCCGCCTCTGACATCTCTCGACCATGCAGCCCCCAGGAGGAGTCAAGCGCCCACAGTCCTGGCTTTGAGTGAACTGCGGCCCCAGGCTGTGATCGCCATAAGTCAGAAGTCACGGCCATGGTCAACTGAGTGGGTGTACACTTGGCATTTGACATTTGCAGTGAGGCTGGATCTTTCCTGTCCATTGGTGTCCATGTGCCTTCAGTGAATGTTACCCAGCACAGTTTGGTTCCTTCTAGGGGGGCCGTGTGCTGGTGTAGGGAAATTTCCAGAAGTCCCGAAAGAGCCACTGACGTAGGAGTCTCTATGGAGTGTGAATGGAGCAAAGGTCAAGACTGCAGGAGGCGGGGGCGGGGGGTGGGGGTGGGGTGGGGGGCAGGCCTGCCTCAGACACATCAAGACAAATTTCATTGTCAAAACAAATATGGACAATTCAAAAAGGGCACAGGACATCAAAAGAGTTTATAGTAAAAGATTTATTTTTGAGCCAGGCATTGGTGGTGCACACCTTTAATCCCAGCACTCGGGAGGCAGAGAGATAAGCAGATCTCTGTGAGTTCGAGGCCAGCCTGGTCTACAGAGCGAGATCCAGGACAGGCACCAAAACTCTACGGAGAAACCCTGTCCAAAAAAAAAAAAAAGATTTTATTTTTAATTATGTGTACTTGTGTATGTCTGTGTGTAGGCTTATGCACATTGAGCGCAGGAGCCCACAGAGGCCAGAAGAGAACGTCAATCTGAAATGGAGTTACAGGTGTTGTGAAAAGTCCAATGTGGCAGTGGGATTTAAACTCTGGTCCTCTTGCAAGGGCATTAAGTGCTCATCTACTTCTCTAGCCCGATATCAAAGTTTTAAGGAAAACCAGGGCACCTACACTTTCAAAGCCCTGGTCTGTTGTGGACTATTACTTTAACTAGGCAAAGCTGTGTTACATTTGTTTATGCTGTATTTGTTTAATGATGTAAGGACGTTGCTGTTTCACCTGGCCTGCCTAAGGCACCTGATTGGTCTAATAAAAAGCTGCACAGCCAATAGCGAGGCAGGAGAGGGATAGGCGGGGCTGGCGGGAGGAGAGAATAAAGAGGAGGAGAGAATGGGAGAGGAGGGAAGGGGGGGGGGGGGAGAAAGAGAAGGAGACAGCTGGGGCTAATCAGCCAGGCAGCCAGCCAGACACGGAGGAAGCAGGAAAGTAGGACATACAGAATGAAGGAAAGGTACAAAATCCTGAGGCAAACCGTAGATGAAGAGAAACTGGTTAAATTAAGTTATAAGAGCTAGCAAGAAACAAAGCATTCATAACTGATAATAAGTCTCCATCCGTGTCATGATTTGGGTTGGTGGCTCAAAAGAAAGCCTGCTACACTGGTCCTTAACTCGTTCTCAGCTCACCTTCAATGCCTTCCAGAAGGTTCTCTGGGGGCTGCGGAAAGTTTAAGAGGTTTGAACTTTTTCTAGAGAGTCAGTAGGTGCCATCACCCAGTGCTGGGGAAGGCCATACTGTCCTTCCCATTCCGAGAGGACTGTCACCAACTTCGTCCTGTGAAATGCAGTGACACAGACCCATTTCTAGTCAAGGGGCCCCCCGGGTGAAGTTCCTTGTGGGTTCCATTCAGGCAGCCAAAGCCCTGAGTTCATTCCTAGATGACACAGATATGGGCTGAATGCTTTCCTAGTGACAGGATTCAGCCTGCCACTCCACTGGGACCGCCTCTGATGGCACCTTGCTCTCTCTCACAGGGCCATGCATCCTGCTGTTCCCTCTACATCCTGCTGTTCCTTCTACCTGGATTTCTGTTCAAGTGCCACCTCCTCCGAGAGGCCCTCCCTGATTGACGGGCACAACCGCCTCTGATTATTCCCGCTGGTGGTACCTTTTTTGAGCCCCGGCCCGTTCTGCCTGGTGAGCCTCCCCCTCCGCACTGAGTAGTTCTGAGGGCAGGCCAGCCGGCTGCACCTGAGTCCAGGTCTAGGCACAGCTGCCGGCCGGAAGACTTGGTCAACAGAGGAGGACAAGCCTCCAGGAGCCACGCACGGAAGCTGGGGTCTCTCCCTCTGTCCAGCAGAGGTGGGGGGTAGATGGACTAACAGAGGTCACTTGTCCTCTATGCCACCCTGCCAGGTAATCCGCAGGTGTCTGGGATCCTGTGTCCAGATGCAAGGCTGGAGGCAGGTGGTGGTGGGGTGCCCTCCAGTCCCTGCCAGAACCGCAGGCAGAATGGGGGGGGGGACCATGTGTCCAGCTCCTGTGGTAGATAACGTGGGACAGGGTGGGCAGAGAATGAGACCGTCTAGAGCAGTGGTTCTCAACCTGTGGGTCGAGACCCTGGGAGGGGGGGGAGTGTCAAATGACCCTTTCACAGGGGTCGTCTTAGACCATCGGAAAACACAGACAGATACATTACGATTCCTAACAGTAGCAAAATGACAGTTACGAAGTAGCAACACAAATAACTTTATGGTTGGGGGAGGGGGGGGAGTCACCACAACAAGAGGAACTGTATCAAGGGGTCGTCGTGTTAGGAAGGTTAAGAACCAGGTTTTAGAGAAACCCGACAACACTGGGTGTTGGGGGCTTCTGGAAGTGCCGGGGGGGGGGGGGGCCCACTCTGGCAACTTCCTAACTTTCTCCAGGAAATGGAGATCAAAGGCAAGCAAGCAAGCAAGCATTCACAGGCAGAATGAGTTAAACACAGTGGTGGGGAGAAGTGCCATCTACACACCAGGTGTCCCTCATTACCTGGGCCCAAGTGCCCCCCACCCACGCACAGGTTGCTGAAGGTGCTTTTCTTGGAAACTCAGGTCAGGTGAGGGTCCCTGCAATAAGCCCCGCTGGGGGCTCAGACGTTCTCGCTGAGGTGGCTGTGGACCCAAGCCAGCACTCACCACCACCGGGGTGGGATGGGGGTGACTTCTGCAGCCTGGGGACCTTGCCGTCCTCACCCTGCCCTGGCCGGGTGGGTGGCCCCGGGGCGGGAGCCGAGAGGCCCTGGTGGAGGAGGGCGGGGAGGGGGCGGCGCCTGGGAAAGGAGGCTCAGCTGGCGGCCGCAGGCGTTTGCATCTGGAGCGGGTCTCAGTTGGAGCCGCAGGCCGCCGGAGCCTCCTCGTCTCCCCTCCGGCCCAGCGGTGGCGGGGACCCGAGCTGTCGGGGCCCGCGCCCCGCGCCCGCCAGTCATGGTGGGTCACCTCCATCTGCAGGCCATGGGGGACACGCGGGAGCAGAGCCGCGACGGCTTGCTGGACAGCCCCGACTCGGGACTGCCCCCTAGTCCCAGTCCTAGCCCGCCCTTCTATGCCCTGTCGCCGGGCACCCTGGACGCCCGTGCCACCACCGAGCCCCCAGGACCCAGTGAGGCACCAGCGGTAAGACCTGGGGACCGGGCAGCGGGAGGGCCGTGCAGAAGCCAGCATGGTCTCCTCCTTCCTGAAGCGGACGTGGAGTGACACCGGACTCACCAGGACCTGTAGGCTGGGAGTTTCAGGGTGGGTGCTGGTGGACTAGAGTACAGAGTAATGTCCTGGTACCCCCAAAGTCTACCATCTGCCAAGGGGCCTGTTGTGGCCCTCTGTCCGTGGGTCCTGCTCCTGCTGCAGCTGCCTCCTGCCCTGTTGACCCATGCCAGGGCTGCTAAATGGAGACATTTTTGAAAATGCAGCTCGGCCTGAAAGCCCCCACGGGCTTTGTCTTGTGGGTGTCGAAGTGGAACTGCCCTCAGAGTTGTGACTCTAGGGGCTGCTGGACCCGCTTTGCCTGGATTGCCCTGGCCGTGCGGCAGAGGGAACAACTTGAAGAAAAGACTGAATACGGCATCCTAGGTGATACATGAGCCCGTGGCGCGACCTGTCTGTGGCTTGATGGCCTCCACTGGGTACACGTGTGTTAAGGCCTTGGCCACCAAGGTGTGCAGAGCGCGGGAAGCATTTGTGGCTCTTTAACCAATGCCCAGCCTGCTTTTCCCCCTCCAGGCGTTGACATAGTCCAGGGCACAGTTTGGGTATCTAAACTTTTATTTCAGTCTCCCCAAGTGACTCGAACACGCACGCAGGGAAGTTGGAAGCCTGTCTTGAATTGAACTTGCATCTCTCTCTGGGGAGCAGGGGTGTGTGTGTGTGTGTGTGTGTGTGTGTGTGTGTGTGTGTGTGTGTGTGTGTGTGTGTGTGTGTGTGTGTGTGTGTATGTGTTATGCGTGGTGGGGAAGAAATCCTAGAGCGTAAATTCTGAGGGAGATCAGAAAGAAGGGATCGGGAAGACGTTGCTCCAGTTCTGTGTGACCCAGAAACCTCCTTCTGCAGGGAGTTCTGGATGCTTCCCAGGCCTTCCGGGCCAGCCATAGGCGCTGGGAGAACAGCATGCTGGGTTCTCTAGCCTGGCTCTGCCACTGTTATTCTTTCCTTTCCTGGCTAAGTAGGTGGCAGCTAGGGAGCGATACTGCCCTGTTCTGTGATTTTTGTCTGGGCAGGGAAACCTGAGGCCACGGGGGGGCCCAGGTAATTGAGGACATCTGGTGTGGGGATGCCATTTTCCTCGTGTGCCAGGGATGGCTCTCCCCACCGATGTGTTTAATCCTTGCAGTCTGCCAGTGAGTGCCCGCTTGCCTCTGATCTCCATTTTCTGGGGGAAGTCGAGGCACAGAAATGGTCAGGAAGTTGCCCAAAGCTGCCCAGACTAGAACCAGGGAACGTGGTTCCAGGGGACATTGAAACCTGGCCTGGTTTTCACGGCGTAGTGAGTTAACGACCTTTTAAATTTTTAAACAGAAAAACAAAACATGTAGCGCGGGGTAGGGTCGAGGGAGGTGCTGCTTTTAATGAACAGAGGAAGCAGTAGCCATGGCAACCTCGCCTCAGGTCTTGGGTCCCAGCTGTGGCCCTGCCCATCTGCCCATCTACCAGTTCCTACCCACCAGGGTGCCCACCTCCTTGAGATCCCATTCCTTCTGCAGTCTTTGGCCTAACAGTCACCCTGTTTCCCTGCTTGGGTAACTCCTAGGCCCAGGTGTAGGTAGGCTGACGATTGCCAATCAATGGATTGATCGGTTGTGTGGGATACGTCTTGGGGCCCTAGTTTCAACTGTGCAAGGAAGAAGCTGTATGAAGGTGGTCACGTGTCCCCTGGCTCCTTCCCAGCATCAGTGTTACCACAGAGAACTGTCCTTCTAGCGGGGGGTGGGGAGGGTGAGGGGCTACAATCACCTCCTTCAATGGATGACAGTGCCAGGAGAGATGGGCCACCACGTAGCCGTGTGACTACTACAGACAGGCAGGCAGGGAATGATGCCTCAGAAAACCAGAGCAAACCAGGGAGTGGATTGTAGTCATTTAGGGCTGATATGTGTCTCAGTCTAAGATGGCATGTGCCAATGTCCTCTGGCAGAGCCCGGAGAAAAAGAGGAGGGTCTGGGTCAGGCCCTGTTAGTCTAGCTGAAGCTGGAAACCAATGCTTTGGCTTGTTTTGTTTTGTTTTTGTGTTTTCACGGCTTCTTTTGTTGTTGGTTTTTTTTTTTTTTTTTTTTTTTTGGTTTTTCGAGACAGGGTTTCTCTGTGCAGCTTTGCGCCTTTCCTGGGACTCACTTGGTAGCCCAGGCTGGCCTCGAACTCACAGAGATCCGCCTGCCTCTGCCTCCCGAGTGCTGGGATTAAAGGCGTGCGCCACCACCGCCCGGCCTCTTTTGTTGTTTTTGAGACAGGGTTTCTCTGTGTAGTTTTAGTGCCTTTCCTGGATCTTGCTCTGTAGACCAGGCTGGCCTCGAACTCAGAGATCCACCTGGCTCTGCCTCCCGAGTGCTGGGATTAAAGGCGTGCGCCACCACTGCCCGGCAATGGCTTTTTGTTTTTAAAAATAGGCTTTTTTTTTTTTTTTTTAAAGTAACAGTACTGTGAGCTCCCAGGACCCTCCAAATTGGAGATCTCAATCAGGGATGTAACTGAAAAGTACGTGTGAAGGGTCCAAAAATGGCCTTTTATGTGTGTTGGGGGGTGCTGCTCTCCCATGTGGCCCCTGGAGAGCAAGATGTATTGGCTGGAGTGGGGGCCACTTGGCTGCTGCTTCACCCCAAGAATGCTCAGCCATCCAGGCAGGGCTGGATGAAAACAGACTGACCCTAGCTCTGTCACTCTGGGCTCCAAGCTGGATTTCTGTACTAGGTGAGAAATATAAGGTGCCCCCCCTCACCTCCCTCCCCCGAATTCCATCACAGCTGTGGTGTGTGGGGCAGGTATGGCAGGAAGCCAGGTCCTGCTGGCTGACAACAGGCTCCTGGCACTGACAGGCAGTTGGGGCAACTGCCCCCTACAGCTCCCCACCCCACCTACCCACCCTTGTCTGGTTTTATTGCCCCCAGGGGACTGTAGGTGGCTTTTGGGATCTGACCTGGGGGACTCTCTGGTGTTGGATATTTGCTTAGACCACAGCCCCCACTCCCCCACCCCCGTGTGTGGAGGTCGGGCTCGTTGTTGAGTGACAGGAGATGACCAGCAGAGTGGGAGACTCCGCCTCCCCAGTTTCTCCTGGCTGATTCACAAGAAAGTCTAGCTTCAGTAGTGCAGGGCAGAGTATGCTTCCGATGTCACTCAGGACTATCTGGAGTGGTTGGCTTCCCCTTCCCAGGTGGGTGCAGATCTGGGCTCCGGTCCAAGGAGAGATGGAAGGGCATGGTGTGGAAGCTACTTTAGGGCGTGGCTGTCGCTCTTAGGGCCTCTGCCTTTTCATTTCTAGGAAGGCTGGTATGGGAGACGAGGGGCCTGGTGCCTGGAGTCGCGAAGGGTGGATGGCCAATGCATAGATGGCCAGATTAACAGGTAGATGGACAATGGATTGACAGGCTCAACAGACCCACGGCCTAGGTGAGGTGTCTACGTGGGCTCTTGTGCAAGGGAGCCAGCGTGCGGGGTGGATGGAGGAGTCTGTTTGCAGAGGGAGTCGGGGAGGGAGGCAGACCTGCCAGGGCTTCCTTCCAGCGGACTGTCAGCCCAGCCCCCCTCGTTGGGGCACCTGCTGGGGGAAGAGCAGTCAGGCCACACCCTGGCAGGTGTCTAGGGAACCCACAAGCAGCCACCCTCCGTGGAAAGCGTGACAGATGGGACCGGTTAGGATAGCTGCACCCAAGTACCGCAATGGGCAGCTTAGACTATGGAGGCCACATTACCAGAATCAAGGCCTAAGCAGGGTTCTATGACTGGTGAAGACCGCGGATAGTCCATTCCTGGCTTCCGGTGGTAACCCATCAGCCCAGGGACAATCTGTGGCTTCTTATGACAAGGTGTGGCTTTTGGTGGGAACCCTCGGCTGGGGTAATCTGTGGTACCCTAGCTTGAGATGCAGTCCAATATCTGCCTCCATCTTCACCTGACTCTGTTCTGTGTCCTCCGGGGGGACTCACACCTCTAGAGACGCCATGCTGGTTGGAGGTTCTGCCATAGCAAGGGGTTTGGGACTCAACTGTCCTTGTGCGGACAGTCAACATCACCAGTTTTTCTGGCGTGTGGTGGGAACCTCTTCTAATGGCTGTTTCCCACATTGTGCATCAGGTTATCTGCAGCCTACATTGGGCCCTTGGGGGATCTCCTGGATTTCTCCTAAGCAGGCGACATTTTTCTCTTTGTTCTCACATGCCACCATCTCTCAGTATGCCCCAAGTGTGGCATACTGAAGAGCGTAGGGAAAAAGGTCCCTCTCTGTTTCATTTCTCCCTGGATTAAGGTTAGAGTCAACCCATGGCCATAAACCTATTTGACACGCACCTCGTGACAATTAGAATTTAATTTCAGCACTTAGGGAGGCGAGACAGAAAGGAGGATCGTTGGGAGTTCCAGGCCCGGTCTAGAGAGTGCGACTTCATTCCAAACAAACCAGAAGCGGCTGCCTAGGGTGTCTTGCGGAAACTCATTTGACCCCTTGCAAAGTCTCCATGTGGCACACTCAGGGACGTCCTGGCTGTCTGGTCCCTCCAGTAGCAGCCAGTGGGGCCGTCCCCCTCCCCCACGGGTGGGTGTTTATTGGTCTAACGATCTCCATGCGCCATGGCACTATTTTAGCCCCACGGCTGTACCCTGTGTCTTGTTCATCCAGGCCAGAACACCATCTGGTGGGGCCGTCTCTGTATAGCACCAGCTCTCTGCCACAGTGTGTTATCACGCCCTGTGGCTTTGGGCTTTCCCAGGGTGCCAAGCCCCACATCACCACACCTGCAGCCAGCCATGTTTACCATTACTGGGCTGGGCGGTCAGTGGCCCATTTTTCTCGGAACTTCAGCCCTGGTCCTTACCCTACCACCCCTATCTGCCCATGTCTCTTGGCACTCAGGAAAGGGCAAGGCTGGGGTCAGGGCCAGCTTGGGGAGGGGGGGTCTATTGTAGGCGGTAGAAGGTGGTATCGGGGGTGATCTCTGCCCTCAGCCTTTTCTTCCTCTCCATCCTGGTGTCCCAGAGCAGCAAGGGGACAGCTCAGGTCACAGATGCATACCTGCAAGCTGCAGCTGGAGGTCTCAGCATTTACCTTAGCTGTTGATGTGTGCCATGTACATGCCCGGTGCCCACAGAGACCAGGAGGCAGTGGTCCCCTGGAACTTGAGTTAGGTGTTTGAGAGTCACCACGGGGATGCTGGGAACTGAATCTGGGTCCTCTCCAAAAGCAGTAAGTGCTTTTAAACACTGAGCCATCCTACAGCGCCTTGCAGAGTCTCTTTAGAAGAGTCTCCTGCTCCCAGGATGGCCACCTTTTTGGGAGTTTCTGTGCTCCAGGGGGCCCAGCAAGGCAAATGCTGTGGTGTGTGACGACTCCAGTGCATATAGCATCTGGGGCTATGTGACCCCCCTCCCCCGCATGCCCCAAGGGTGCTAGAGCCCCATCCCCCACAGTCACTATGGGGCTGTCATCCAGCTTCTGGTGGTGGGGGGGCATTGTCTTCCACCCCATACAGTTGGACTTTTCCTGTGGGCTCTGCAGGCCAGCTGGGTCCACGGGCTGTAAGGCAAGACATTCTCCTAACAACCCTTAGCCAGGGTTTTGCATGCAGAAGCCTTCAATAGAGAGTGGCTAGTGGCTGCCACCCCCTTCCCTGGGTGTCTAGCCCCGGAACCCTTGGTAGAATCCTTGGGTATGATGTGCCAGCTGCCCTGCCCCCGGTGGACATCTGAGCTCTCTTCTCTCAGTGCCTGCAGTGGGTACTCCCTGTGGGCAGCTGAAATGTTTTTCCAGGGGGGCCATTTGGAAAGCTGTGCCACGCGGCCTCCCTCCATTTGAATTGGGCTCTCTGTTTGACTGGCAGAGCCCTGTGGGGCAGCTGGCTGATATGGGGCTGCTGCAGGTCGGCCAAGGCCCAGGCAGTGGTGTTGGGTTCCCTCTCCGTCTGTCTCCAGGTTCTTTTGTAGCCCAGGGTGAACTCAAACTTTGTGCACGCGAGGTTGGCCTTGAACTCTGATCTTCCTGACACCACCTTCTGAGTGCTGGGGTTACAGGCGAGCACCCATTTATGGAGTTCTGGAGGTGGAATACAAGGAAGGCCTCATGCATGCTAATGCCTGAGCTAGTGCCCCAGCCCAGCGGGAGCAGGCTTACTCAGGATGTATTAGGCTCTGCAATGCTCTGTTCTGAGGAGAATGCATCCGCCTCTCTGAACCGAATGCTTGCTTCTAAAGTCTTAGCCTGTGTTCATGTCCTCCCTCCTCTGTGGCCACGTGGGACCTAGTGCTGTGCCCAGGGCACAGCAGCTACTCAGCCAACTTACCTTGTGCATCTGGGGGAAAGCCAAGCTGCCAACAGCCACTCTGGTATTCTTTCCATAAACACCTCACCTGGGAGGTTTGTGACAGGGGTCAGTGCCAATGTCACTCGATCCTGAGGCTGCCTGGGGTCCCATGGAAGCCAGATGCTGCCATCTGACCCAGGCACTATTCCACCTGGGTACTGGTGTGTGGAGACCATCATCATCATGCCCCACCATCATGGGGTCCTGCAGACAGGCATGTGGGTATGTCTGACAGACACTCCCGTTTTCAGAACTGGGGGTAGTGTACAAATCATGATTCCTCTTCCCTGTCTCCACCCAGGCCACTTCCCTCTTCCAAAGTCCCCCGGCCCTGGAGATGAGGCCCCGTCTGCTGCCTGTGTTCTTTGGGGAGAGCATCAAGGTGGACCCAGAACCTCCACATGAAATCCGGTGAGTGGGCCAAGGGTAAGGTGGGTGGATCCTACCTAAGGGAGGATCTTGCTGAACTGTGGGAAGGGTTTCTGCCTGTGAGAGCCAGGGCCTGCCAGGCTCTGGGGGCAGAGCAGCCAGCTTGGGGCTCAGCAATTCTTACCCTCTGGTGCTGCCTGCTCTGGAGGGCACCCCCCCCCCCCCCACTCGCTGTTCCTTGGTGTCAAACCAGAAACTCGAAGTGGCACCCAGGTCACTGACCAGTCCCTTTGAATGGGGGAGTCACTCGCCCCCGCCCCCCAGGAGGGGCTGTGGGAACTTTCACAGGCTTTCTAACATGGCAAAGTTGGGAACAGACCACGGGAGGCACTTGCTCTGGTTCTCTCACGTGACCTTTGTCATAGTTAGTCCCTGAATACTGTGGCGTGTTCCAGCAACACAGCTAGTCCTCCATGGTGACAGCCCAGTGCCACAAAGCAACCACCTAAAACAGCATCCACCATCCCAATTGTGTCCTTTTTTTTGTCTTTCCCTCCCAATTTAGGGTCCAGCTATCTGTGCTGCTTGTCACTCTTTAGTCTCCCCAGCTGAGACTTTGATCCTTCAGAGTCAAGAAGGGGGTTCTGTGTGTAAGGCTAGCCCCCGAGGGTGGCAGGCCACTCACCCCCTTCCTTACTTACTCTCCTCCCCAGCTGCAACTCGGAGGTCACCTACGCCTCGGAGAGGTACTTCCGCGACAAGATCTTCTACGTTCCGGTGCCCACGGTCACAGCCTACAGTGAGACCATCGTGGCGGCCCCCAACTGCACGTGGCGCAGCTACCGCAGCCAGCTGACCCTGGAGCCCCGGCCGCGCGCCCTGCGCTTCGGGAGCACCGCCATCATCTTCCCCAAGCTGGCCCGCAGCTCCTTCCGCACCACGCTGCACTGCAGCCTGGGCCAGCCCCGCCGCTGGTTCTCCTCCAGCCTGCAGCTGCAACGGTGCGGAGACCCCGCGCCCAGTTCCCACAGCCCCGGCGTACTCTGAGGAGCCCCGGCTGGGTGGCAGAGGGAGCGGAGTCTGGGAGAGGTCCCCGGGAGATGGACAGGGGCTCGGCCTAGAACCTGGGCCCCAGGAGGAGACACAGAGCCCCGTGGCCGGGCCAAATGAGCATGCGGCTGCTCCTGGCAGCCTGTCCCCACCACAGGCTGGGCCTGAGCTCCAGCCTAGAGGATTCGGTGAATGCATCTTTCATTATCTTGTATAGCTGCCAGGCTGTATGGGCAGGGCCAATAAGAGCAGGGCCAAGCATGTCCTGGTGTGCCCTTGAGGCAGAGACAGCCCTGTGTAGAGGACCCAGCCTCAGTCGTGGCCTGGCTCCTAACCTTGTTCTCAGAGAGGGTCGTTTCCAAAACAGGCCCTTCAAACATGCTGGTCCCAGCTGAGAACCCCAAGTGCGGAGGGCTGAACTAGCTTCCCTTGGGCTGAGCTGGCAAAGACTGTCCAGGGCATAGCCCTCCAGGGCAGTCCCAAGGGTCCCCATAAGACGCATTCCTGACTAGCTTTCTGGCAGGTGGCCAGGGAGGCATCAAAGCTAATGATAGGACATTGTCAGCACCTGCCTTTGGCCGACTCTGGACTCGAGGTTCCGATCCCGGCTACAGACTCAAGAGAAAGCGTGGCAGCTTCTCTTGGCCTCGTGTTCTTACCCAGGATCGACCCTACTGATATCACAGTTTCTGAGCACCCAGGTTCACCCTTGCATCTGTGATGCGGTGAAGGAGAGCCACAGGTTTGGCTCTTGCCCAAAACCTGATGCTGCCCCATGGCGCCCAGGCTAAAATGACTCCCCCCACAAGTCCACTTAGAGGTAGAGATGTCCTTCTGGCCTCAAGTCTCCAGTAGCTGGAAACCTGCCTGCTGCCCCTGTGGTGGCCAGCGGAGGGAAGGGACACCCTTCGTGGGGCAAACAGAACCCAAATGACTGGTAGATTCCCATCTGTCTATACAACTTATCAGGGGTGCCTCCTGGGTATTAAGAAATTGGTGACTTATCTTAATAAAACGTACACAGCCAGGATGCCTTCTATTTCTGAGGTGCCCCTGGGACAGGGTAGGGGAACCCCACTTTTCCTCCCACTTATTACTCTGAGGGACCCTGACTCCCCTGCTTCTGAGGGACCGAGAGGAACTAGCTAGGGTCACCATGGGTGCCAGCCTCTGCCTCTTGCCCCCAGAGCCTCGTGTGTGCTAGGCAAGGGCCCGACCACCAATTCACAGTCACAAGCCACAACTGGCTTTCCACACTAACGGCTCTTACCTGTTGGAGAGTATAGGGTCCCTAGGCTGCCAGCTTACAATGTGGGGAGCTTGGGGAAGCCCCACACCCCAAGCATTCCCTCCTCAGTGGTTTACCTATCCTGGGGTCACCCAGGGGACCTGGAGAGAAGAAGAATGGGGTGCCAGGTCTGGGTAGATCCTGTCCCAGCCCTTGGGGCTCTCCACCCAAAGGTCATGTTCCAAGTGGCCCCGCCCTAGGGTGCTTTGTTAAGGGGTCTTTCACTTGGCCTCCCAGTATCAGGGAGGGAAGACCCTATAATGGCCCTAGGGTGGCACCTGCCTGCAGGGTGCTAAGATTGACAATCGGAAAATGCCCAGTACCTGTAAGCACCTTTTTGTTTTGAGATAGGGTTTCACTCTGTAGCCCTGGCTGTCCTTGAGTTCAGAGATCCGCCTGCCTGTCTCCCAAGTGCTGGGATCAAAGGTGTGTGCCCACCACGCCCAGTTTGCAGGTAACTTCCTTACGCTGCAAAATGGGGGGAGGCATCTGTAGCACCCACGCCTGGAGTCAACTTGATGAATCCCATTCTCACCAGCCAGACTTGTTCTCTGGCCTTGCCCCCCCTCCACTCCCCTGCCCCCGCTTCCTCCCTAGGCAGGAATAGAGAGCTTTGGTCCCCTGTGGTCACAGTGCCCCTACAAGGAGTGGAGAAAAAGTGCCCGGGGAAGGTATGGGCTGGGGACTCTAGACGTTCTGATGGAGTTGACACCTCGGTCCCCACAGCTCCCTGGAGAACCAGTACCAATTGAGTGAGGCACCTTGGTCGGCCACTTTGGCTTCATTTGGCATGGCCTCAGATCCTGGGACCCGCCGCCAAGGATGAGGGGGCGTGTGTCCGTCGTCCCACACAAGCCACGTGTGGCTTTCTCCCCTCACCCTGGCACCCCAAACACCCCGTACCTTTGTCTTGTCCACAGCCGAGAAAGAGCATTGCCACTGAGTGGGGCAGGGCTTCCGTTCCCACCACACCCGTTCTGTAGATAGGCAGCCCGGTGGAGAGACGCCCCTAGGCGTCTAGTGGCTGCTGAGGGGCCTTTCGCCACACCGCTTGCCCTTGAGTCTGCCTGACCTACCTTGAAGTGCCTAGAGAAGGATGTGCCCCCAGTTGGGACTTCTGTCTAAAGGTTCTTCCTGGGAGTCAAGGATGAGGGAAGTCACGGGAGCCTCCATTTTAAAGATGGAGTAAGGACAGGCTGCTCACAGACCGGAGACAAAGAGGGCGCACAGAAGCCATAAGCTCTGCCTCCATGCCTCTGGCACGGTCTGGGCGGGCCTCAGAAACAGACAAGGGAGAGACGGGGCTGGGCTCAGACCAGCTCGAGTCTGGTAGCAAGCAGTCAGGGGACACCACACCAGTGAGCTGGTGCGGTAGAGCAACCTGTCTGCCCAGGTAGAGCTGGCTAGGTCCAGGGGGGAGGCCCCATAGCGCCACCTGGCTGCTGGCTTTCGTACTGCAGTCTGGACACAGGTTGAGGCCCCCGGGCTCAGCTCAGACCTGTGTGGTGGCTCCCAGGCTTCTGCTCACAAGTTCACAGGAAGGACTTTGGGAGCCCCTGGGGGATGCAAAGGCCTCTCCCCACTCCAGCCCAGACACCCCAGGTGGCTGGCACTGGGGTCAGCAATACCTACCTCCCCTGCGCTTTCCTGGCCAGAGCCCTGCGCAGGGGAGGGGTGGCTGCTTTGGATCCCCCTGGCTGCTCTCTGCTATGGAATCTCTTTCCTTCAGGCACACCCACTCACCTGCCAGCAGAGTCAAGGTGGGTTTCATTCTTGGGACCATCTGTCACAGCATCCTTGGCTGCCTGGGTTCGGAGCTGAGGATCGGGGCGAGGCTGACTTCCTAGTCTAAGGCAGACACCTTGGCGGGAGTGTGGTGCAAGGCAGGGTTGAGCTCGTGGCTCTCCCGGATGTGGAAACTGAGTGGGTGACCTCTGGCGACCATGCTCCAGCCAGTACCATCCCCAGGCTGTGGCACCCAAACTCGCCAGCTGCAGGGGGAGGCCGAGTGAGCTCAGCCCAAGTCAGTGTTGGGAAGTTGAATGCAAAGGCGGCCTCCTCTCTTGAGTTAGTTAGGCAGTGGGCACCAGAGGCCCAACATCCCACCCCTGTGCTCAGGAACTCCTCCATTCCTCCAGCACCCAGTGGCCAAAAGATGTCTCTCTCATGCCCTTGCCAACCAACCCTCAAACCAGCTCTAGAGACAGGTGGTGCAGGACAGGCTAGGGGACAGCAGCCCTGGGTGGCCCAGCAGGGCTCCTCTGTGCAGAGTATGTGCCGGTGGGTATGGAGGGCGCCAGGCCGCAGGTTCAAGGCTGAGGCAGAGCCCGTAAGCCGTCTCAACTCTGCTGTGGGAGGGAACTCTTATGGTTGGTTTTAATGTCACTTTGTCACAAATTGGAAGAGTAGAGAAGCCTGGCGTGAAGACTTTGACGTGGGAAGGCCCACCCTGATGGTGGGCGGCACCTTTAGGCAGCAGCCAGATACAAAGCTTTGTCAGGAGGAAGATCCTCTCGCCCTCTGCTCCCCAGGTTGCTTTGCTCAGTGGCTCTGCCCTGCTGACTCCCAGGAAAATGAGGGGCTTTAAGCCTTCATCGCACAATAGGGACAGCAGCGCTCTAGCACTTCCGGGCTCCCAGACGCCAGACCGCAACTACAGATGAATGTTGCCTTGTGGACTTGGTAACTAAGGGTCAGCACCCCTTACCCCAAGTGAGAGGCCAACTGTTCTGAGACAATTCCAAATGTTGAGGCTAAAAGACCAAAAGCTAAACTACTTAGTTCTTAACATTGTGGGTGGGCTTGCCTGTTGCTACCTTTTTTTTTTTGTTTGGTTTTTTTGAGACAGGGTTTCTCTGTGTAGTTTTGGAGCCTGTCCTGGATCTCGCTCTGTAGACCAGGCTGGCCTCGAACTCACAAAGATCCGCCTAGCTCTGCCTCCCGAGTGCTGGGATTAAAGGCGTGTACTACCACCGCCCAGCCTGTTGTTACTATTTTAATGCTAACTTAAGGGGCTGGAGAGATATCTCAGTGGTGGAGAGCACTGGCTGCTCTTCCAGAGGACCTGGGTTCCGTTGCCAGCACCCACATTGATGGCTCACAACCACGTGTAACTCTAGTCTGATCTCCACAGCTACCAGGCATGCATGTGGCACACAGATGTATATACAGATCAAACATCAATGCATATAAAAAAATAATAAAAATACTTTTTAAGAGCTTATTCTTAATAAATCCTGATACATATTCCTCTAGAGGTTCTCAACCTGTGGGTTGTGACCCCTTTGGGGGTTGAACAATGCTTTGACAGGGTTGCATATCAGATTATCCTGCATATCAGATATTTACATTATGATCCATAACAGTAGCAAAAAAACAGTATCAACGAAAATCATTTTATGGTTGAGGTCACGACCACATGAGAAACTGTATTCAAGGGTCGCAGCATCAGGAAGGTTGAGAACCCCTGCTCTACAGGACCTTGACTGAAACAGATACCAAGGAGGAAGCATCGTTCTATACCTTTGTATACCTTAGGGAGGTGGGTTTGGCCATTTTGGTCAAGCCCAAAAATACTCACTACTGACATAAAGAGCAGGATCAGGTAAAATAGTCCACAGCAAGAAACAAGGGTCACCCACAGGTGTGACAGACACTCTCCCCACAGGTGTGACTGACACACCTCCTCCCTGCAGGTGTAACTGCCGGACATTTACACTCAGAAGCAGGAACACCAAGAGGCCTCGCCACAGGCAAGGACCCTGACATCTACTACAACAGTAATCTTCACCATGCAGATGGCGCACACTGTCGCGAGGAGTGAGCAACACCAGCATCCATACTACGCTCCCATTACAGGTGTGAATGCCTGACACCACAGGTGTGAACACCCCATACCTCATCATAGGCTCAACTACTCAACTCCCCTCCACGTGGTGCAAACACCCCGTATCTTCACCACAGGTGTGAACGCTCCACGCCCTTACTCCAGGCACAAACGCCCCACAGAGTCACCATGGTGTGAATACCCTGCAGCTTCCCCACAGGTAGGAGCACCCCTGTACAATGACCACCGGCTCCCCATAGGTGTGAACACCATCTCTATGATACAAGTACCTGGTGGCTTCCCCACAGCCGCGAACACTGGATGCCCTCTGGTGGCACTCTACTTGGGGGTCACTGTTCACTGCCGAGAGTGGTGACCTGAGGGAACATCCCCTTGACTCTTGGGGTCACCTCCTATGGTCCTTCGGCCCTGGCTCCTGCTGTCCGGTGAGAAGCAGAGTGGAAACTTTGTGACTTGAGTATGATTTGCTTTTTAATTGGAACAACATATGTAAATGACAGAATGCCGCCGTGCACAGATGGCGGCCACAGAATATGCATCGAGTCCATTCTGCCCAAGGAAGGGAGGAGGGAGGGTGCAGGGCTGTGTGCCGGCGCCCCTACCCCCCCAAGTCCTGCGTGTCTGGGTCACCGCCTTGGCCGGCACACGCCTCTGGAACGGGAAGCAGAGACCAAAGCGCAGCAGCAGTAACACGGGCGCGTCCTTCCTTGTGTGAAACGTCTGAATTAACTCATTGAAGGTATCAAAAATATACCCTGTAAGCCAACACCATTTACACCTGCCTTCCCTTCCCATCGCCAGCCACGGCGACGGCCGGGAACAGTCCAGTTCCTACAAACGTCCGTGCCCCGGGCCACGCCTGGACCCTTGTGCACCCACCTGGTCTGATGGGCTCCCAGTCTTGTGGGCCGGGCGGCCTTTGGGGACTGCGATGACAGCACTGGGGCAGGATAAGCTGGGAACGTCTGTCCAGAGCGCGAGCGAGCGGGCTGGGGGCAGAGGGAGGGGCGGGGCCACAAGCTCAGCTTAGACTTTGGTTCCAAATGCGTTAAGGGGCGAGGCAGTGGCGTGGAGGTGACTGGTCGTCCTGCGTTGGGTCCCCGCTGCCCCAGATGCACGCGTGCAACTGACAAATGATCGCCGTACCCCTCCGGGCCCGCTGTTCTCCCCTCCTGTCCACTCCCCTCTCGAGCACCAGGTAAACATCCCCTGAGTAAGGTCACTGCGCAGGGCCAGCCCAGGACGGGAGTCTTAGTTAAGGCTTTAGACAGGCAGGACGCCAGCTCTGGATGGACAGATGGGTGGACGGACGGATGGACGCGCAGGCAGACTCAGGGGCTCCTTCCTCAGTGGGGACAGTCGGCAGCTGCCTGCTCCATGCTGGGCCACTTCTGCCTCGTGCAGGGGCCTGGCACCACTCCCCTCCAATCTGGAGTCACTCGCTGTCCGAGAGTGTCTCATACTGTGAACACAGCAGTGGCTTGGGCTCCTCGTCCCAGGCGTGGTGGGGACCGGCCAAGGGCCCACTGCCTGCGGCGAGGCCGGGTGGGGGCGGGGGAGGCCATGACACCTGCCTGTAGCCGCATAATCAGAGGGTTGTAGGGGAACGGCGTGGACCCTGTGGGAAAGATGGGAGAGCGCTGGAGAAGGCTGTCTGTCACACTAGAAGCCAAAGTCTGGGCCGCCTGGGTCAGTACCATTCAACACTATCTCTGGAGGGTTCTCAAAACTGGCCCTCTCCTTTGGCCTCGCCGTACAGCCCTGCCATTTTTTCCTTAGACCGTGGTAACCTCTCCATTTCTCCCTCTTGTCCTTTATTGCCTTCTGCTTTTCCATCAAAACCCTTCAGTGCTCGACAGGCATAAAAGGAGGCCAGGCTCCCTCGCATGACCAGCCGGTATGGCTGGCTGTGCAGGATCTTCTTTCTGGTCTGTTGCTTCCTATACCCTTTCTTGCTAGGTGGGGGGCCAGGGACCACCTTCCCCTGGGGAGCTGGGGTCACCCCATGTCTACATCCCTACCCTGGCTGACACTCACCTGCAGATGAGGGCCGGTCCTCCCACACGCGGTTGGTGAGTGGTGTTCGGCGATTGCAGTCCCCTTCTGAGTGGACTGAGGAGACGGAAGGTGGCCGGTCTCCGGACCCCAGGCCTGGGGCTGGCGACTTGGCTTTTCGGCTGCTGGGTCTGCCAGAGACCTTGGCTTTCCCGACACCACCTGCAGGGGACCAAGCAAGGAGGGGCCGAGTTAGATGGTGCTGACGGACGGCAAGGCACCCACACCAGCACTGAGGAGGGGCAGGGGGGTAGGGTGGATGACTTTGGCCTTGGGGAGCCACCTGCCTCCTAGGGCTCCAAAACAGAAAACTAGTGTGAGAAATCCTGAGCCAGGAGACTACCAGGAGTCTACCAGATGGCCAGCCCCTGGCATGGGGAATAGAGGCACATTCCTGTGAGGGAGATTGATGACTAGTCTCCTAGGTGCCCCCACCAGGACTGTACCCCCTCATGAGAAGCATCAGATCTTGGCTGAATGACAGACATTGCCCAAGATGGCCCTGAAGGCCTCTGCTGAGAGGTCCAGACCCCGAGGCTGGCCTGACCCGACAAGTGGACAGCAGGGCACCTCTGTAATGGTGCCCGTGCTTGGGAATGGCAACTGCTAACACATTGGCAAAGTGGGAGCTGACCATGGGCTGCCTGACCCTTGAGGGGTCATGTGCACACTAGACTCCCCACAGCAGCCCTGGCCACACGTGGTGGGCCTGGCCACTGCCATCCCTGTCCACGCAGCAGGGGAGGAGGGGGCGGGACGTGGGTAGCAGTGTGAGCACGGGGAGAAGCAGCGGTGCTGGGGGCGAGGGAGGCGCCCCCCACAACACGGGGTGTCGGACCAGCTTTGGATTAGCAAACTAGATGTCAAACACGCACAAAAAGATGGTCACAGGCTCCCAAGCTCAGGGGGGAGGTGAGAGGATTAACAACACCGGGTGGGGAGGGACACAGCCGGGCGGGCGGGCGGGGGGCAGGCCTGCAGACCTGGCGAGGTGAGTGCGTGGTCACTCCGTCCGTCAGCAGTGGTTATGGGCATAGCGGCAGCGGGCAGACTGGCACTGGCATTCAGAGGGTTAAAAGCATTGGCGCCGAGCGGCGGGGGCTCTTCCCACTGATCATATTTACCCATGAGTGCCTTTCTAATAATGGCCTCTAGCCCCATGTTGGTGCTGGCATGTTCTTGCACCGCCTGGCTTCTACAGGTCATAAGGCCTGGGAGAGAGACAGACAGACGGACACACGGGGGCCGGGGCCAGGGAGCCAGAGGGTCGCAAGAGAGAAAGAGGAGGGAGGGAGGAGAGAGAGAGAGAGAGAGAGAGAGACACAGTGAGCACACATCAGCAGAGCATCCTTCCTCCCTCCAGTCTGCCTCTCCGCAGGGTGCTGACGGGGGTTCCTGACTGCCCCTGCAGCTCATGGCTGTTCCAGGGAGGGGGTCTGGGGCAGCTAGAGGGTCCCCAGCCCCATTTACTGTCCTCAGGAAATCAGAAGCCCTCTGTATACCCCAATCCCAGCTGAAGCTGTTTACTTCATTTTAACTATGAGTGGGTGGCCTAAGAGGAGACTGTCTGGACCACTGAATCAAGCCAGAGCTCGGTGCTGAGGATAAGGAGTGGGGAGGATAGAAATCCAGCCAAGGTCTTCTGGTGGGTGGATTCTAGAAAGGGATGTGGAGAGGGAAGGTGACCAGAGGACTCCTGCTGTCCCCTTTTCCTCAAGGGGTTAGGGACCTCATTTGAGCCCAATCCCCCAAGCTGCACTTGCCTCCCCTGCCCCATCTCTCCCCACAGGAGCCCGAGGAGAAAGGTGCAGAGCTGGGCACGAGGGTGCGGGGTCACAGCCATGCAGTTATGTGCGTGCAAGGACAGGGCAGCGCTAGACAGGTGAAGGGCCACTCCAGCCCTGGCTGGCCCGGCCCCACGGCAAGGAGAGAGGCCAAATCAACAAAGTGGCCTCGAGAGATGCTTGTTGTCTCTGCCGAGCCTCTGTGGACACTCTCTATTCGGTCCCCCAGCCCCGAACTGTGCTCTGGGACATTTTGCAAATGCCAGGCTGGGCATATATCTCCTCAGTGTTTCAGGATGCTTCCAGAACTTCTTGAGGGCCGGAGCCTGATTAGCAGGCCCGGAACCCCAGCTACTTAGGAGGATAGCAAGCTTGAGGCTAGCCTGGTCTACAGAGTGAGTTTAGTCCAACCAATGCTAGCCTGCACGACTTAGAGAGACCTTAACTCAAAGAGGGTTGGACTGTCACTCAGGGTCAGGACACTTGCTTGGTGAGTACAAGGTCCTCGCTTCTATCCCAAATACCAACAGAATTCCTCCAAAGCCAGACAAACAAATAACAACCACTAAACCAACTCACCCCAAACTGAACAAACCAATCCAAAAAAAAAAAAAAAACCCTCAAATCACCACCACCACCACCAAAAACACCAACATCAACAATTGCCACAGGCCATTCTGTGGTACCCTGTGAACCTCCAGGCTGCCTGAGCCTTCTGAAAAACCACACGGCCCAACATGCTGGCAAGTCCCTGGTTTGTAAACGAGCCGGGCTCCTGAGGACGAGAGGGACAGTCAGCCTAGGCTTGTTTCTCTCCTTCCCTTGGGTCTCAGGCAAGACTAGGGCCAAGGCTACTCACGGCACCAGGTGGCTTTGTTAGGGGTAAGCAAAAAAGCTGAACTTCCAATGGGGTAAACAATAAAAATAAATAAATAAAAGAAAGAAATAAACAAGCCCAACTACTCCTCCACATCCAGAAGACGGAGGAGGGGGACAGAGGGGAGCCTCCTGATGAGGTGTCGCTCCTGGGCCTTCTTTCCAGGGTGGTGAGCTCGTGGCTCAATGGCCCTGGGCACGGGCATGACTTTCTCCATTTATCTCCGGTAGGGTATTTATTAGTGTCACAGGCTAGGCCTGGAAACACAGCTTTGAGAACTAACATTTAAGGGGAATTTACGAGTAGATACACATGTGCGCATGTGTACACATGAGACAACTAAGTTAGTCTTTAGCACAAATCACTGTATAACCCCATGAATTTCTATATATACATACACCTGGTGTCTAGCACCTACATCAAGATTTAGAACATTCTAGAAACATTTCCAACCACATTACTGCCTCGATCAAAGTTTCCTTCTGCCTGAGGCTCAGCAAAGTGCCCAGTATGTTTCTGGGCTTGTGACATTCCCTGCCAGGCACCCCCTGCTACCCTGATTCCTGGCTTTGCGGTTCCTGTGGTCCTCTGGAAATGTCCCCAAGGGTGCGTCTGGC